CCTCCGCCGCCGACGACACCGCCGCCGCCGACGACGCCGCCGCCACCGACGACGCCGCCGTTGCGCATGTCGGACGGCATGTACGAGTTGGCGAAGTACGAACTCATGTTCAACAGGTCACCGCAGTTGCCCTCCACTTTGCCGTTTGCGGGACTACGGGGTCGCGTTGCGTTGCGGAACGTCGCCGATGCGATGCCGTCGATTGGCGCTCGACACGCTTATCGCTGGACCGCGGAGTGCGCGGCTATTGCGGGACGCGGACAACAGCGAGTGGGCCGTACGCCATCGTCGTCGTCGTCGTCGTCGTTGTGGTCGTTGCCGCGGCCGCGGTGGTGATGCTGGTGTGGCCGGTGTCTGCGGCGGTCGCCCGCGGTGCTTGTGCCGGCCGCGGCCGTTCCGGTTCCGACGACGGCGGTGGTGCTGTGACCGGTGCCGCCGGTGGTGGTGGTGCTGCTGCTGCTGCTGCTGTACCGACCGCGGTGGTGGTACCCGCGCTGCGGCTGGCACTGGTACTGGTGGCGGTGCTGGTGCTGCTGCGTATGATTGTCGTCGCGATCACTTGGTCGGGTACGCGAGATCCGCCCCTGCAACACACCAAAACGGAACCGTACGGGTCAGTGGATGGCAAACGTGTACCGGCGCGCACGTGCGAAATCCCATGTTCCCCGGAACGGGTTGCCCCCACCCCATGCGTCCCGTCGCTGCGGTGACCTTTGTGCGTGCGGCGTCGCGCACCTTTGCACGTTTGTTTATTAACGCGCGCGCGCACTCCTCCGCCGCCGGATGTTCCGTACAAAAACATCAATAGAAGACAAATACGCGGCCGTCGACGGGTCACAATGGACTCTTATATTGTGTACACACCTCCGCGTGGGCCCCTAGTAACGCGCGGGCACGGAAGCGTGCGTGTACGCGGCAAAACGCGCGCGCGGTGAGGGTGACAATATGATTTCGATACGTATAGATCGTATAGATCGTACACCTAACCGGGGGTTAGCAGCTGCAACGTCGTCCGCGGACGTTCCGGACCGTCGCAGCCGTCGCGGAGGTTGCGTGGGGGAGGAGTGGATGCCGCCGTGTTGGCCGATCGTCGCCCTGCGCGTCGCTAGACGGCTGTGGGTTACGCGGGAAAACAGAGGATCGGTCGATTTCGACGAGATCTGACGTCCGATCGCCGGGTCGAAGTCAACGGGTGACTAACGGCAGTGCAACAAGTGCGACGCGGTACCCGTGAAAAAGTATGTCGAACCGCGACGAGAGTTGTCGTTCAGCGGTACAACAACCCGTTTAGGACGAAATGATTAAACGGCGGTCAAATAGGAGTATAATAATAGCCGTGAGCTTGGTGTACCGGTCCAGGAAACAGGTCCGAGAGTTCTGCTGCGGACGTCCGACAATCGTTGTTCGCCCAAAGAGACAAGTGATATCGATTGTACTCGACAAGGGTTCAAAAGAGTTTTCGGTAACGGGGAACCTACGGTCGGCGCAGGCTAAAAACACCGTTCGCGTGACGCGCAAACGATTCGACGGCACTGGGGCACTGAAGCGGGTGAAATGGCACGTCGACGTGCCGGGTTGTCGGTACGGCGGAAACTGAAATTCTCTTTCCACCGTTTCTGTTCTGGTTCCGCCGAGAAAACGCAAAACGAACCAATGACGCGGGGGATCGGTGTCACGGGTACGGTTATTAGCGGCTAGACGCGTTATTAGCGTCGTTCGGTTCATTATTTCCTAATGCGACGACGACGTCCTGCGCCGCAGCTAAACGCCACCGCTAGCGCGCGCACATGTGCAAAAATACACATACGAGCGCAGGAAGACGGGTCGGATTTCACTGGGTCTCGCCGGTGCGCGTCCACAACGTTCGGACAACGTTTTATCTCCGGTGTGAAACAGCGGTGGCGCATAGGTAACAGGTTAGGGGTGCGAGGCGGCCACGACCTTTGCACCGGTTGGTCCGACGACGAATGTGTACGTGTTGTTCGCGAACGGTGGATTTTCGGTGGCCAGAGCCAGCGGGTTAGGTTAGTCTTTACGCAGAAACAAAAAAAATAATCGACAAACGAGAACGGCTCTACGTACAGGCTGGATGAGAACAGTAGTACGACATGCCGGAAATGTGACGGGGAGCTGACGGTGGCGCAGGCCGAACGCGACCAGGGAGGGTAGGAGTAAACTTGATTTCCGCATCGTTCGTGCACGTCCGCCCGCTGCCGCCTATGCGTCGAAAGTGGCCGCGAAAGGGTTGACCGGTTCGTGCGAGCGCATCATGAATAAAAGAAACGTAAATTCGTCGAGCAGCGATGTTCCTCCGTACACCAGTTCAAGGTCCGCCGGGACCCGAATTTAATATGCAAAACTCGACGGATATCTATGAACGGGGAATTGGGGGGGGGGGTAGAGGTGTACATGTACGTCAGGCGGTAAGTGGTCCGCAGAAAAGGGTGAACGAGAAGGACAACGAGTGAGAGAGGACGTGCCGGGAATGAGTAGGTTACAGTGAAAGGGTGTGACGAGAGAGACGTTCCCTAGTGTTCGTTTCTCCGTGTCTCGGGCACATACGTCTTGCGTTGCAGTGAATGACAACATCTAACCCTTGGGTTTCTTTCGCATTAATTTCACCACTACGTCGTCCTACGCCCGTGCAGTGTATTACATTACAATACGGTATAGGTACGCGATAGTCGAATTGTACACGTACAGGGGGCTACGATCAACCCCTGTGCGTGTAACGTAACCGACAAATATCGCCGTTACGAAGTTGTACGCTATTAATATACGTATATGCACGTCGACGCACGCTATATTAATCTTAATTTTTGCCTTTTTTTTCGCTGGTGCTCGTGGGGTGGCTCGTTTTTTTTTCGTTAATTTTTTTCTTTTTCGACATTTCTTTTATTACAAACGAACACACACGGCAACGACGATGTAGTAATAGAAACATTATTCGCACTCGTACACGAGAACAAAACAATTTTCCGTGCACACGACCGTCGTGCAATTATTATTATTACTGTTACGGTCGCGTAAATCGCATTTGCATTATTCTTGTCGGTACTGCAGTCGACAACGCGAAAGTACAAGCGGTGCACCTGCATAACATTACGCACCGTCTTGGGCTCACGGTGGCGGCGGACGAAGACGCGGACCGTTGCGACTACGAATTACGAAATTAACGAGATGATAACGACCAGACGATGTACGCTGTTATGCGTTTTGTTCGTCCACGCGGTGGTTTACAGCGGTGTGATTAAAAATTTATGTTTAGACTTCCGTTTACGCGCCATCACGTGTTGATGGTGTCCGACGAGTTAATAATACGAACAATCTGATATCGCTGCTGAGACGGTATCGCTCTTTGTCTATTTTTTCTCATTGGTGTGCAGTTTCTAGGGGTGTGAATTATTGAAACCGCACAACGATGGCGGGCGTTATTGTAGTACGATAGCAGTACTCTTGCACAACGGGAGAGCGACGAGATAAAACTGAAAGCCTATGAACACGACCGTTGATTAATTCATGATTTTCGGGACGTCACCACGGTGGATATACCGCAAGGAAATAACATACAGTACAAAGGCATTCGGGACGAACAGTCATCGGGTCGGAAACTACGGTTAAAACATAAACCGTCCGTACGAATCAATAACGAATCGAAAACGCACATTTTTTCCGCATCGTAATAAAAATAATCATACGAGTTAAATACCTTTTAGAGTAGTCAACATCGATGAAAGTAAATTCAATTTGTTCATAACAATAATGAAAAGCACTCGACCGTGACCTATAAAGATCGTATTCAATAACCGCGATTGTAAGATATACAATGGTACTTATCACCACGGTGGAATCTAGAAAATTTTATCGCAACAGGCCGAACGATAAATATGTAAACTATAAACATGACGGATAAAGTTTTTTCGAATTAACGGGGGGGGGGGGGGAAGGATCGCGCTAGTGAAATTGTTTAAACAGAGAATTTCAGACGTTTTAGGCGAATGAATTGAGTTTTCAATATCAATTCATAATCCTACCGACTACTGAGTCGGTGTTGTTTCCTCGGAAGAATAAAAAGAAATTGAATATAAACGACAATCGCCCGTTTAACGAGAACGGCATTCACGCGGGCGCCGCCATCGGATTTCGGATCAACGAGCATGATCTATGTGAGCGCGTCGCAACCACGGTGCCGGGCCGCGGCGACTAGATCGCGCGTTCAACGCGGACAATGTTGCGCGGCGATGACGGTCGAGTATCGATCGATTGATCGCGTTCCGCCTGAAATGACGCGTCGGACGGTCACGTTTTCGTTACATTTACACGAAATATCGATCGCGTCTGTCCTAGGATCATTTTGGGGAGGGGGGACGATCGAAAATGTCGACCGGTGGCCGTCCCGTTCCGACGTACCGCCGTTCGACGGAAGCAACGGGTTTCGCGACCGAACGTTTTTTATTAATTATCGATTTTTTTTTTTTTTTTTTTTTATCCAAGCCGACGTGAAGAAATCGGAGAAATCGGTTCGGACGGAACGCGGAATCGTTTCGAATCAGGAAAACGTGCCCACTGACGGCGGCGCCCGAAATCGTGCTGACCGGCAACCGCGTATACACTCCGATCGCTTGTGCGGTAGCGCGCGCTTCGACCCGGCGCAGTCGTTTCGACGACAGAATAATAAGGTTAATACCCGTTCCTCCACTGGAAACGGTGCTGTTAGCGGTAGTATTAACGAATTTCAAGCGGATTTCAGCCGATAATCGAACTGATACGTGAATACGAAGTGAACGTAAATAAAAAATAAAAAACAACAATATCCGTTCCGTAACAATTTCATATTTTCCTAACGACCATTTATTGGCATCGTAGTAGATTTTTCTGTAACCTGTAGTGGATCGATTTTTATAAAAAAAAAAATATATATAAATTTAACACCGCCAATACCATCGAGCACGTGTGTTCGATTGCCGGACAACGAATAGCTTATAGATCGAGTTACAAGGGAAAAAGATAAAATAAATATATCTCTGACCGTCACTCTTGGGCATCCGAAACGAATAGATTGTTGACTGATCGCAAGGCCGTATCTGGGGGTGGTCCAGGGTGTCTGGACCCCCCCCCCAAATTTCTTCAATATTTTACGGACGTTTAAAATATTTCTTTATTTTTAATACCAACATAAATGTTTTCAGTCAAAAATGACTTAAGCTCCAACTAATCATTGACTGCTTTTAATTTTACATCATAATATCATATGAAAATATGATATTAATTTTGATTAAAGAAGATTAAATCTTTTTCTGTCTTATTTTTAACCAAATGTCAAAAGTTAAAATCTAAATTCAATAAAATTACAATATACATGTTATAGAAAAAAATTTCTAGATACGGCCTTGACTGATCGAACTAGACCTGGTATTAGAAATCGAACGTATCATCGTCGTCGAATTTTTCGCGTAGAGTTTTAAGTAAATCTATTCAAAAAAATGTACCCGATTTATTTTATAAAACCTTGACGCATAAAATGATATTGTGTTTTACGATATACGTCATTGACCGAACGAACGGAATTGAGCCGAAGATGATG